CCAAGGTGATCTGCAGATTTCATGCATTCCCTACCAAAATCCCAATGATATTTTTTTTCAGAAATAGAAAAACCATCCCGAATTCATATGGAATCTCAAAGGACCCTGATGAGCCAAAAGAATCCTGAAAAAGAAGAAAACAGGAGGACTCACACTTCCTGATTTCAAAACATACTACAAAGCTATGATAATCAAAATAGTGTGATTCCCAGGGCTGGCCCCGTGGCCGAGTGGTTAAGTTCGCGCGCTCCGCTGCAGGCGGCCCGTGTTTCGTTGGTTCGAATTCTGGCGCGGACATGGCACTGCTCATCAGACCACGCTGAGGCAGCGTCCCACATGCCACAACTAGAAGAACCCACAACGAAGAATACACAACTATGTACCGGGGGCGTTGGGAGAAAAAGGAAAAAATAAAATCTTTAAACAAAAAAGAAAAAAATGTCTTTAAAAAAAAAAAAAAGATGTTCTACACCACTAATCACTAGATACACGCAGGTACCACTTCACATCCATTTGGATGGTCATGATTAAAACATACAAAAAGCAAGTGTTGAAGAGGATGTGGAGAAAAACACTGCACTGTTGGTAGGAATGTAAAATGGCACAGCTCCTGTGGGAAACAGTAAGGCAGTTCCTCAAAAAATTAAAAGTAGAATGACCATATGACCCAGAAATTCCACTTTGGGGTATATACCCAAAAGATTTCAAAGCATGTCTTGAAGAGGTATACTTGTATACCTATGTTCATAGCAGCATTATTCACAATAGCTAAAAAGTGGATGCAACCCAATGTCCATTAATAAATGGATAAGCAAAATATGGTATATACATACAATGGAATATTTCTCAGCCTTAAAAGCAAGGAAACGCTGACATATGCTAGAACATGGATGAACCTTGAGGACGTTACGCTAAGTGAAGTAAGCCAGTCACAAAAGACAAATACCGTATAATTCCACTAATATGAGGTATTAGAGTAATGAAATCATAGAGGTAGAAAGTAGAATGGTGGTTGCCGGGGCCTGGGGCGGGGGAGAATGGAGATTTATTGTTTAATAGGTATAGAGTTTCAGTGTTGCAAGATGAAAAGAGTTACAGAGATGGATGATGGTGACGGTTGCATAACAGTAAGAACTTACTTAATACCACTGAATGGTACACTTAAAAATGGTTAAGATGGTCAATTTTATGTCATGTGTAGTATACCAGAATGAAAAACGTTAGAAAGAAGCCCACTGTGAATAAAGCTATGTCTGGTTCAACAGTTTCGGATTCCCATTTTTCAGAGTCCTTCCAGCTGCCCAAGAATAGGGAATTTCTTCAGACCAGTGGCTCTCAAGCTGTACCGTGCATCAGAATAATCTGGAAGGCCTATTAAAACACATTGCTGGAGCCCACTCCCAGAGTTCCCGATTCAGCAGATATAGAGAGGGACCCAGGAGTGTGCACTTCCAGCAAGTTCCTGGGTGATTCTAATGCTGCTGGTTGGGACCACAACTGAGAACCACTGTCGTAGAATTTCTATTTTCCACTTAGGATCTTGTACTAGTTTGCTGGAGCTGCTGTAACAAAATCCACACAGTGGGTGGCTTAAACAACAGAAATTGATGCACAGTCCTGGAGGCTGGAAATCCGAGATCCAGGTGTCAGAAGGGCTGACTTCTGAGGGGTGTGAGGGGGAGTCTGTCCTCGGCTCGCCCCCAGCTTCTCGTTGTTCACTGGCAATCTTTGGCGTTCCTTCGCTTGTCGATGCAGCACCTGACCTCTGCCTTCATCCTCACATGACGGTCTGTCTCTGGGCCCAAATTTCCCCTTTTCATAAGGAGACCAGTTACACTGGATTAGGGCCCACCCTAATGACATCGTCTGAACTTCTCCTCGCCAGAGACCCTATTTCCAAATAAGGTCATATTCTGAGGTACTGGGGTTGGCAGTTCAACATCTTTTGGGGCTAGATTCAACTGATAACAAGTCCTTAGATATTTTGGTCTCCACTCGGCTGAACAATTCACTAAGCAGCACACTGAGCATTATCAGGGCAATTCTGTCCTTTCCTTCTCTGCAGGCCTGGCCTGGCTGGGCCACTTGAATTATCGATGCCTTTGTTCTCCTTTATACCGTAGGCTTGCAGTGGACTTTGGCTTCTGGTTCCACTTTCTTGCAATTTTAGAGGAGAAACCCTTCCATCCTTGTACATCTGTTCCTGCCCCTTTAGCACCAAGAGCAAACCCATCACAGTGGGCCATGAGACGCAGCACATACAGAAATCAATAACGTTCTTATATACGTGAATAACAAGCTAGAAAACAGAATGGAAGAAAAGATTCCATTTACAATAACAATAAAAGATGAAATATTTGGAGATGAATTTAACAAGTAATGTGTGAGATCTAGACGACAACCTGCAAACACTGAAAGATTCTGAGGAGGGCATGGCGCAGACCTGGAATAACCAAGATGAAGGTGCCGCGAAGCACGCTGACAGACGTTATAGGGAGCCAGCCTGTCAGACTCCACAGTTAAAGACCCAGGTCTTCTGAGACTGTTTCCTTTGACAACCAACTCGACCGCACAGAACAATGATAATGCCGTGTGGGATTTCTAGGAGTTCTTTATATGTTCTGGAGACAAGCCTTTTGCTATGTGTTACAAAATCTTTTCCCACTCTGTGGCTTGCTCTTTCACTCTCTTTATGTATCTTTGATGAACAGAGGTTCTTAATTATAATGAATTGCAACTTATTGTTTCTTTTTCCTTTCGTGTCTTATTGAAGCTTTCCTTATTCTTAGGTCATAAGATATTCAGCTATGTAATATTCTAGAAGCACTATTGTTTTATGTTTCACATATAAATCTCCAATCCACCTGTAATTAAGTTTTGTATTTATTATGAGGAAGAGTTGTAAAAGGAACTGAGACTCTGATATATGAATAGCTTTCCAAGGGTCAGGTGATTTTAGGGAGCCATAATGTGGACTAATTTCATCTAAGTCCAGAGCTTAGATCTTTAACCACTTCACTCCACAGGTGTGAGGCACAATGAAAACAATGACAGCTGAAAACTTTCCCAGTTGAGAGATCTCTGTGGTCACTCCAGGGTAGAAGGGAGAACAATGAAGGGAAAGTCACCTTCTCAGAAAGGTCCTTCCTGACATTCTTTTCTGGAGTTTGGGCTGCTCCTCCAGATGTCCTCATCTGAGCGCTTATCACCTTGCACCAAAATAGCCTGTGGATTCCACCACTGGCAGCTGTAGAATGGGGCTCATGGGTCTCCTCTATCACTGGACCCCCAGCCCTTAGCCTAAAACCTAGTACACATTCCATAAATATTGTTGGAATGAACGCATCAAAGAATACGTGAAAAAGAAGAAATGCTCCCTCATCTGTCCCATCACTGGTCTGTGCACTCCCACACAGGAGGTGGGTCACATACAGGGGAACACCAACCAGAGCTGTAAACTTATTCAGGTTCCCTGACATCTTCTCCATTTGGAGGAAGGGCAGCTGAGTGCAATGAGGGGCAGAGATGTCTGTGTTTGGGGATAGAGAATGCAGACAAAAGGAAAAAATAGAGGAAGAAAGGTGGTAGAGAGCTATTAACAATTTCTGACCCAGGGCCACATCAATCAAGTTTAAACCAAGATAAATCTCCCAGATATTTTCACAGCAAACTTGCTCCCCTTCCTCATCCCCTTCTTCCCATTTCTGTCCTTCTTCTTTTTTTGTCTTTCTTTTTTTTTATAATTATATTAACATTTATTGAATGCATTACAGTTTATGGTTTTTTTATAGAGTTATTGATAGGTTACAATCTTGTGAAATTTCAATTGTACATTAATGTTTGTCAGTCATGTTGTAGGTGCACCACTTCACCCTTTGTGCCCACCCCCCACCCCACCTTTCCCGTGGTATCCACTAAACTGTTCTTGGTCCATAGTTTTAAATTCCTCATATGAGTGGAGTCATACACAGATGATCTTTCTCTCGCTGGCTTATTTCACTTAACATAATTCTCTCAAGGTCCATCCATGTTATTGCAAATGGAATGATTTTGTTCTGGTTTGCAGCTGAGTAGTATTCCATGGTATATATGTACCACATCTTCTTTATCCATTCGTCTGTTGATGGGCACTTCGGTTGCTTCCACGTCTTGGCTATTGTGAACAGTGCTGCAATAAACATTGGGGTACACAGGACTTTTGGGATTGCTGACTTCAGGCTCTTTGGATAAAAACCCAGTAGTGGGATGGCTGGATCGTATGGTAGTTCTATTTTTAGTTTTTTGAGGAATCTCCATACTGTTTTCCATAGTGGCTGCACCAGTTTGCATTCCCACCAGCAGTGTATGGTGGGAATTTTTTTTTTTCTCCGCAACCTCTCCAACATGTGTTGCTATTAGTTTTAGATATTTTTGTCATTCTAACGGGTGTAAGGTGATATCTTAGTGTAGTTTTGATTTGCATTTCCCTGATGATCAGCGATGATGAGCATCTTTTCATGTGCCTATTGGCCATCAGTATATCTTCTTTGGAGAACTGTCTGTTCATGTCTGCAGCCCATTTTTTGATTGGGTTGTTTGATGTTTTGTGGTTGAGTTGCGAGAGTTCTTTATATATTAAGGATATTAAGCCTTTGTCAGATATATGACTTGCAAATATTTTTTCCCAGTTAGTGGGTTGTTTTTTTGTTTCAATCCTGTTTTCATTTGCCTTGAAGAAGCTCTTTAATCTGATGAAGTCCCATTTGTTTATTCTTTCTATTGTTTCCCTTCTCTGAGAAGGCATGGTGTCCGAAAAGATCCTTTTAATACTGATGTCAAAGAGTGTACTGCCTACGTTTTCTTCCAGAAGCCTTATGGTTTCAGGTCTCACCTTTAGGTCTTTAATCCAGTTTGAGTTTATTTTGGTGAATGGTGAAAAAGAATGGTCAATTTCCATTCTTTTCCATGTGGCTTTCCAGTTTTCCCAGCACCATTTGTTGAAAAGACTTTCTTTTCTCCATTGTATGCCCTCAGCTCCTTTGTCAAAGATAAGCTGTCCATAGATGTGTGGTTTTATTTCTGGGCTTTCAATTTTGTTCCATTGATCTGTGCACCTGTTTTTGTACCAGTACCATGCCTTGGCCTTCTCCCGGCCAACAGGGTGGCCAGTGTTTCTGAGGAGCAGGGGGCGACGATGCCTCTGGATGCCAGGGTTTGTAGAGTGCAGCCGGCCTTCTCCCCTCAGGCGATGAGTTCGACTGGAGCCTCCACAACTAGTGTCCCTGCGCAGAGAAGGCTGAGTAGTGCAGCACTTGTGCGAGCAGGCAGTTAGGCTGGTGCCCCAGAAGGTGTGAGCCCCACGCCTCTTTGGCTGTTTTCCCAGACTCGGGAGAGCATCCTGGGCTGAGGGCCTCCCGATCGGGGAGACGTGGCCCGCTGGCTCAGGAAAGCCAGGCCGGCGCTTTCACGAGACACCGCCTGAGGTCTCCTGGCAGATTGCTCTTCCCGTCTGCCGTTGTCACACTGAGGATGTGGAGGTCCCTGGGCTGGGACTGGACACTGGATTCCCAAGGGTCGAGTGGGGATCTGCTTAGTGTGACTGGCCCCGTGCGAATTTCTTTCAAGGCCAACACACCGATCCGGAGGACGAGGGGGGCCAGGACCGCGTGTATTGCAGGTAACTCGGAAGAATCCCGGGACTCCATTGGAAGGGGCCATCTGGGCATCTCCGATCTAGGGAATTCAGCAATTGCTGACTATCCCCGTTTCCCCCATGCACGCAACCACCAAGTGTCCCTTTCCAAGAGTGCTCTGTGTTTCTCCCCGTGGTCCTCAGATGGGCCAATTCCATGATCTCTCTCCAGCTTGGTCACGTGCAGTCAGTTGCCAGAGGTGTGCTCATCTGTCAGCGGATGGCGTGCACTCTCCCGTTCTCTCTTTGTTCTGTCACCCAGCGGAGGACGCATGTCTGCCTCTGCCCGGTTGCCGTTCCCACGGTGGCGGCTATTTCCCGGCCAGGACAGTCATTCGTGACCAAAGTCCGCATCGTGCCCCAGTAGGGAGAGAAGCAGACCTTGCAGCTTCCAGATTTCTAGGAGTCGACAGTGGTGCCAGAGCCTGGCAGGGTTCACTTGGCAGCTGTCTGTGCATTTCCACCAACTGGATGCAAGAGTGTTGACGCCGCCTTTAGGGTCCTCTGAGTGTGTGGGTGTGTGATGACTCTTGTGGAGTGCAGGCGCTCGTTCTCCTTGCTCAAGAGCTCATTTTCTGCTCGGTGCTCTGAGCAAGCTCTGCTCGCTCTCTCCTCCTCTGTCTCTGTCTGTGTGTCTGTCTCTCTCCCTCTCTATCTCTGTGTCTTTCTCTGTCTGTCTCTCTGTCTCTGTCTCTGTCTCTCTCTTTCTCTCCTCGGCTCACGCTGGATAGCTCGCTCTCTCGCGCTCTCTGACTCTCTCCCTGCGCACCCCACCCCCCCGGCCCTCTCTGTCTCTGTCTCTGTCTTTTTCCAGCTCTCTCTCCTCTTCCCACTTCAACTGCGCCCTGGCCCCAGCCAGAGGAGGATTGTGTGATCTCCCTGGCTGAGCCCTACCCATTGCTCTTCTGTGAGCAGACCCTTCCACCTTCCAGGGAAAGCAGCTCTAGGAATGTGTGTTTCCCAAAGCCGCTTGTTTCCACTTGTGCCCTCCCTCCCCCCACAGGCTCAGCAGGGATGTGCCACCCACGGTCGAGCATCCGCTCCTGAGAGCGTGCCTGAAGGACTACTTCTGGACATGTGCCATGGATGTCGGCCAGTCCGCGTCCTGCTGGACTCAGTCGAGCAGTGCCGTCTTCTGCTTCCAGGGCCTGGCCGTCTCCTCCCTGGCAGACACCCCCAGTGAGTATTGCCGCTGTGCAGGTGATAAGGCTCCAGCTGGACTCCCTGGGCGGTCCGTGTCCTTGGCATGCCAGCCCTCGGGCTGTGCAGACACATTGAAGGGAATCAGGCTGGAGGACAGAGTTGGAAGCACAGACGGGAGACCCTTGAGGGAGCTGCGCTCCCTTCCTTCTTGTCAGGATATGCCCAGGTGCCCCTGGCCCCAGTGACACATCATGGGACCCAAAGCCGGCGGGACAGACTCAGCCCCCCTGTGCTGTAGCGCCAGGGCAGGTGTCTGTGAAACATCCCCACTGGCGTGAAATGTCTCCTCGCACCTTCAGTGCTCTAACTTTCATGCCTGAGGCATGTCCCTCCATATTCTGGGCCCACCTCATGCGCCTGGCCTCCTTGTGGACATCTGCCTCCGAGATGCCTCCTGGGCTTCACTCTTCTGGGCCCCACTCTCCGGCTCCGTCACGTTGGCCTCTCTTCCAACTCGGAAGCAGTCCTCGGAAGAACGCCCCTAGCCACCTGTCCCGTTTCCCGTGCTCCCGGGTTTCCCGCATGCGAGCCTAGGCCTTGGCCTTCTCCCAGCCCACAGGGTGGCCAGTGTTTCTGCGGAGCAGGGGCGACGATGCCTCTGGATGCCAGGGTTTGTAGAGTCCAGCCGGCCTTCTCCCCTCAGGCGATGAGTTTGACTCGAGCCTCCACAACTAGTGTCCCTGCGCAGAGAAGGCTGAGTAGTGCAGCACTTGTGCGAGCAGGCTCTTAGACTGGGGCCCCAGAAGGTGTGAGCCCCACGCCTCTTTGGCTGTTTTCCCAGACTCGGTAGTGCATCCTGGGCTGAGGGCCTCCCCGATCGGGGAGACTCGGCCAGCTGTCTCAGCAAAGCCAGGCCGGCGCTTTCACGAGACACCGCCTGAGGTCTCCTGGTAGATTGCTCTTCCCGTCTGCCGTTGTCACACTGAGGATGTGGAGGTCCCTGGGCTGGGACTGGACACTGGATTCCCAAGGGTCGAGTGGGGATCTGCTTAGTGTGACTGGCCCCGTGCGTATTTCTTTCAAGGCCAACACACCGATCCGGAGGACGACGGGGGCGTCCAAGACGGCCTGTGTTGCTGGTAATTCGGAAGAATCCCGGGACTCCGTTGGAAGGGGCCATCTGGGCATCTCCGATCGAGGGAATTCAGCAAGTGCTGACTATCCCCGTTTCCCCCATGCACGCAACCGCCAAGTGTCCCATTCGCAGAGTGCTCTGTGTTTCTCACCGTGGTCTGCAGATGGGCCGATTCCGTGATCTCTCTCCAGCGTGGTCACGGGCAGTCAGATGCCGGAGGTGTGCTCATCTGTCAGCGGATGGCGTGCGCTCTCCCGTTCTCTCTTTTTTCTGTCACCCCCCGGAGGATGCATGTCTGCCTCTGCCCGGTTGCCGTTCCCACTGTGGCGGCTATTTCCTGGCCAAGACAGACATTTGTGACCAAAGTCCGCATCATGCCCCAGTAGGGAGAGAAGCAGAACTTGCAGCTTCCAGATTTCTAGGAGTCGACAGTGGTGCCAGAGCCAGGCAGGGTTCATTTGGCAGCTGTCTGTCCATTTTCACATTTCGTTTTTATTTTCTCTTTCTGTCTCTCGGATACCAAGATATCTGAAACTAAGAATAGATATTACTGATTTGAAAGAATCCACGTCACAAAAAGTACCATTTTCACTTGATGAAAAAAATCTAAAACAGCAAATCAATTTAAAACCCAAAAAGAACAGTGAAGGGATCCTATGCTGAAGATCAAGATCACAACCACAAAGCACTCTCCAAAGTTTTTACTGCAAAGGCTGGTTTGATGGGAAAAATCCCAGCCCTTCAGGTTCCAATTGTGCTGAGTCACTGAGGAGACCCACACATGGTTATGAGAGACCTTAACCCTTGCTGCTCTCAGTTCCCATCGTGCACATCAGCAGAATCAGGAGCAACTGGCAGAAGACAACATGACAGACCGGGCGTTCTGTGCCACCCGCTGGGCTGTGCGAGGAGCAGACAGCACTAACTATGCAGTGCTCTTGCTGACAACGTTTAACCTGAATTCAGTCATGAGGTAGTCCTGAGACAAGTGCAGAATTTAGACCACTGCACAAGACAACTGGCCTCACCTCTACAAACAAGGCAACGTCACCACAAATGAGATAACAAAAAGGAGAAGAGACTTTTGGAGTTCTAAACGACTAAAAAGATTTCTTTAGTCCTTTAGATCCAAAAGCCTCTCCTCACCTTTTGTTGTTTTTTGTGGCAGTGACATTGCCTTGTTTGTAGAGGTCAGGACAGTTGTCTGGTTCAATGGTCTACATTGTGTACTGGTCTGACCACTTCCTCATGACTAAGCTCAGGCCGACCCTCTTGCCAAGACCCCTACGTAGTTAGTGCTGGGTGCTTCCTAGTGGAGCCCACCTGGAGACCAAGAATGTCCGGTGTGTCCACCTCTGTGACTGCCGTACTAGCATGGGTCACGTTGTCATGGAGGGGCCTACGAGATCTGTTCATTGTAAGGGCACATTTTTTCCTTTCTGCAATTAATAAGTAATTTAGTGAGTGGTACTTTGAGAGTGTGTGAACATCCTCTTTTCTAAAGATCTTTCTCTAAAAATTTTACCATCCATTAATGACCCCTCCTTTGTGTCAATTATCATAATCGTATTTGTACATTGAAAATTTTCTAATTTGTTCTTTCCTATAAACTTGTATTTGCTGGCATTGTGCCCTGAAAAAGCACATTACCTCCCCCTTCCATAGCATTAAACTTTTGTTTTGACTATCACTGTGGACTCGTGTATTTTTTAAATTCAGTGTTATAAATCATTATCGTCATGAATCGTTGGGTGAATACAAATATAAATTAATATAAATATTCTTTCCCTTCTTCATATTTATATCCTAAACTCACCCATATCTTTTGGCCCATATTAACCATGCACAGTACATTGTATTTACTATATTTCTTTCTCTACCTTTTTTTTTCTAGAGAACATGTGATTTCTCGATTCATTGTAACGTTTTTATACAGAATATAGACTATCTTAATTGATTTGCATTGAGAAAATGGTTCCCATTGTACAAGCAACTCAAAAATAAATCATCACTCTGCAAACTAGCTTTTCGCCACTGAGGAAGTTCTGGCTAGGACCTCAGAGATTTTTTAATAAGCTTGATACATAATTACTCAATGTATGACATTGGTATTAAGGATATTTTTAATAGCACTTGAAATAAATCATTGCAATATGACTTTAGGCAAGTCACTTAACTTTTATTAGGTTTCAATGACCTCAGTTTAAGAAGCATCTGGATAACTTTTTTTCCTGCGACAGAATATGCTTTTGAGCTCCCTCACACAGCAACATCATCCTGCAGTTTGTATGGGGGTGTGATGGAGGTGGGATCCCAACTTTGAAAAGTCATCTGCCTGGTCCTTCCTTCACTCAGTCATGAAAGCTTAATGGAACACGTGGAGGTTGTGGCCATCGTCACCCTTGTGAAACCACCAGCCTAGACAATCCCAGCAGAGTTACAGAGACACACATATCAGGAGGACGCCCCACATTTCAGTCTCACCAACCGTGGGTAGGATGTATGTTAGGAGATCATTCTGTCTCGTGCCACACCTCTCTTGCTGACCCCAGCTGCTGTGCCACTAAACACCACTGTACATGTGTGGCGTATATTCTTTCTGCGCCTGGTCAGGGCCTGTATTTTCCCACATACTTCAGACAAACACAAACATAGGTCACTGGTGTGTGCCTACACAGGCAGATCCGGCAATGCTGTTGCATAGAAACTGCCTTTCCATCCACTCCTGTTGAATATATTGCTTGTCCAAAGGCAGATACAATTATATCATCTGATTTACTACATGTATTCATGCAGATATATGTGAAATTTTTATATGCCTTTGACAAGTAGAAGAGATCCTATGGAATTGTAATGAAACTCGTAAGTTACATACACAGAATTCAATTTTTATAGAAAGTAAAAATCAAAACAAACTACACATATCAACGGAAGTTGAAGTAAGTAGATGGAGATGCCAAAATTCACTTCAAGATATATGAAACACAAAATGTTGCTGTGGCGGGAAATGGAGTCAACATTATATGGGATATGTTAAGAATAACACTAACAGGTGGTTGGGATAGATATCTTTGGTTGAATTAACTTATCACAAGCTAAGTAGAGTATATTCTCAAATTGACTCCATACTCTTCGAAGGGAATGAAAAACTGGTAGAGAGTAAAAGAAAAACGAGTAAAGTTTTACATAATTCTTTGAGGAAAAGCATCGAGGACAATTCAAATGGAAACAGATTGATGCATGACCTCAATAGATGCCTCAGTAAAAGAAAGATGCTGAGAAATGTGGCTGCCTCAATGTTTTTCTCTGCACCTCCGAGCCTGAACAAGGAGAAATTCTCAGATTTGAGAAACTGTTTGGAAGGATCAGCACAGGGAAGCCAAAAGCTGAAAGGGGCTGAGAAGGATGGTCTCCTTCCTTAGAGACCTTCACAGAGGATCAGGGCAGCCTTGGAGCTCCAGCATAGAGAGCCTTGTGCTTTGTGGTCAGCGACTCTACGGTGGTGTGGGGTCTGATAAAGCTTCCTGACTTCCAGATGACCTCATTTTAGGGGACCTTATTTCCACCAGAAGAGAAGAATCGCAGCCTCCTCACCTCCAGCGTTATTAAGAACAACTTTGTTTTCAATAGATCGGTTTGTTGTTCACTTATTTCTCCTCCCACCCACTTTGGGACCCTCCTCTTCCTCCTCAAGGCTGTATCTCTCCTTGCCTCCCACCCACAGTCATCTCCAGGGCCCATATGACTAAGGAAGTGGTTAACCAGACGCCATGCAGTAGAGCCCGCTCTTCTCGTGGGAGCTGCCTTTGTGGGACCATGTTCAGATGGGGCCTCTTTAGTGACCTGACCTCTTTAAACCATTCTTTCCATTCAGCTCATCCACATGGATTTGGAGAAAACTGGGTCATTGATAAGATGCCTCATGCATCTCTTCCTCATCTCTTTCCATAGAAGATGGAGTAACTATGCTCTTCCAAGAAAATATTGTGGCGGCCAGCCCGGTGCCGTAGTGGTTAAGTTCGCATGCTCTATTTCATCTCCCCGGGGTTCACAGGTTTGGATGCTGGGTGCAGACATACACATCACTCATCAGGCCATGCTATGGAAGCACCCCACAGACAAAAGAGAGGAAGACTGGTACAGATGTTAAGCTCAGGGTGAATCTTCCTTAAGCAATATGAGGAAGATTGGCAACGGAGGTAACCTCAGGGCCAATCTTCCTCAACAACAACAACAACAGAAATCCTCCCCTGAGTGCTGAGAACCTCCAGCAGTAAGAGGAGAAGAGATAAACCAGAGCTGGACAGAAGGAGCTAAAGGTTCAGATGGAGGAATCTACTCTGGGCCCTCCTGGTAGGATCCCTTCTCTGAAGGAGTGAAGCTTCCTGCCAGAAGCCACCAGGGACAAAGGACTTGCACTACAACTGCTGAGTCCTTCTCCCTTGTTTGGTTTGCTGTATAGGTCTTTACTTTCAGGTAAAATTCACTATACACGCGCACCAAGTACATAATTCACATTATAACTTTTGAGGGCCCTGGGCACTTTGTCTTCATGGGTCCCTTCATGCATAAACCATTAAAAAGTATATTCTACCACTGTTGGTATAAAAAAATGTATTATTACTATTATATGTGAAAACATTGTCTTTGACCTAAAAGAACACTGCTTTTCATCTGATTTTAAAGTAAATTCAAACATTTTCCTGTGCCTCTGGTGTGGATCCCTATGGTCACCTGTGTGCCATCATGAGATGGAGAAGGAAGGGGAGCGGGTGGAGAGGGAGGATGTGGGAAGAGTAGTAGGGCAGAGGAGGAGGAAGAGGGGCGAAAGGAGGAGGAAGCAGAAGAGCATGGAGAGCTCAATACCAAGGAGTTGCAATTCCCTGGCCCCAGAATGGCAGCCCCTGTCTCTCTGGAACTCCCCCTTACCAGATTCTGCGCACACACCCCCCACCCCCGACTCTGGTCTCTCCTCCTCCAGCCTCCCTTCTACCCACAGGAGCAGCCTCTCATTCCTCCTCCCACGCCCTGATCCTGAGGATTCTTTCCTTTTCCACTCAGTCTCCCCAGGCTTAGGCCCAAGTCCTTCACCCAGAGCAGGACTGTCCCCTCCCAACCACCGGCTCTCCAGGCCTTTACTTGCCAACCCTTGTCTTGTAGTTCTGGAGAGTCCAAGGCATAAACACCTCCCAGGAGAAAAGGAAGTGTGGGCCAGGTCTCCTCATGCAGTCATGGGTCCCCCTGCTGAACTGAATCCAGCCATCCCAGTTCATTCCAGTTGGATCTGTGAAGACATCAACCTTGAATGAGCGGGGAGAAGGGACACAGAAAACACACTGATGAGTACTTTAACATGTAAGCTTCCATCTTTATATCCAATACATCACATGCATTCAGTTTTGTTTTATTCCATTCATATGAATTGGATAATCTGCATGCTTTGCTTTATACATTTTCTTTTCTTTTTTCTTTTCTTCCTCAGAAGTCTTGGGTAGGCATAACACAGGACCCCAGAATTCCACTCTTTGTTGTGTAATCTACCTTGCCCAGGACACCTGCACAAGAAGGACCATAGCCTTGTTGTGTGAAAGATCCACAGACTGTAAACAACCAAAATGTCCACCATCAATAGAATGGATAACTAAATTGTGGTCTATTGCATTAGCAACCACAATGGAAGAATCACTGATGATTGTTAAATCCATAATTCTTAGTGAACAAAGCCAGGCATGAGAGAATATATGCTATATGATTACAGATTAAAATCCAGACCTGTGAGGAGTGTGTAATAAACAAAATTATAAAATACGTGAACAAAGAATGAAACATCACGAAGATAAGATTGAGGTTACTGCTAAGGCCAAGGAGGGAGATGTGACAAGGAAGAGGCATCTGGGAAGCTTCTGGAAGCCTCGTACGTTCTAGGTATTGATCTAGGTGGGGGCTATGTTAACTTATAGCCATACTTTTATGTTTTATGCAGCCTTCTGCATATTGTGTTACACAATTAAAGAAAAAATATCATTCTGTCAATGTACATCATGCCAGGAAGCACAACCGATGCTAAGTGAGCAGTTGGGTTATCTTCATCTGCACAACACTGTGAGGTGTGGGGCACCATTACAGCCACGTGACCCACGAGGAAATCATAGGATGTAGCCCCTTGTCCCAACCAGACCAGTGGTGGCACCAGGACTGGGGGAGGCCACGTCTGACAGAGACAATGCTGGCAACCACAGCCCTGACCTATTGTCCCTGGACCAACAGCGGTATCTCTGAGGAGCTTGGAACCCAGTCCATTCTAGAGCCATGGAATGAAGTGCCAAGCTTTTTGGGGTAGAGGTAGGAATAGAGAATTTTCCTAACTCGAGGAGGCTTTCAAAGCAGGAAGTGTGTGTGATAACCATGGCAGAGAAGGGAACTTCCCAGTTACCCCCAGGGATTATGTGGGCCCGTTGGGCAGAGCTCCTCAAGGGCAGGATTGCCAGAACATTCCAAATATCTCAGAGCCCTTAGACAAGCAATGCCCAAACGCAGAGGTGAGGGGATGGTGGCCTCCAACAGAAGTCAACAACCTGGGAAAGAACATACAGCCAGAGAAGAGGCAGAACCTAC